TTCACAGCTGCGTCGGTCATGGCTTCAGGGATGTTGCGAAAATCACAACACTGTCGCCAGCAACTTGGTTGGAACAAAATTGGCTTGAGCCACAGCCAGGTTTCCCCCAAGCAGTGTAGTAAAGCTACGAATAAGAGGATAAAAGAAAAAGAACTCAACCAGAAAGCATTTGTCTGGGAGCAAAAACCAAAACTGGATCAAAAAAATGAGATACAGTGATGAGAGGTTGGGTAGTCTCGTGCTTCACGGCAAGCTATTAGGATTTCCATTGTTGCCACCCTCTGGGGATGGAAATTGCTGAAGCTGTCTCGCGCGGCAAGCTACTGTAGGGGCCCTATAATGATTTTAATAGGGTTTTGGGGTATGGTATACTAAACCAATAACAATGAACCTCCAAAATAATATAGGCAACTATTTAGGCCCCTATATTAGTGGGAACTGTGTCGCAGCAAACTTTCGGGGAACTGGGTTTTATGAAAGCTGTGCTTTGCGGCAGCTTTTCGAGGTTGTTGTGTGGCAGCAAGCTAGTGAGTGGCGCGGAACACAGTTTCAGAGAAGTCCTCGGTTGGCTTGGCTCGTGGGGTTGGGGGGGAGGGGGCAGCTCGCCCCCTAGACACACCTAATACGGTGCGTCATCATCGTCTTGGATGTGTTCTCTCATGATCTCTTCACGACTGGCGGTACTGGCCTCACTGTTTGCTCCGGATAGCAAAACAAAGCACACCTTCTTGGCCCGTCGTCTGTGGAGCAGCGATGGTGCACAGCGTAAGAGGGGGCAATGGGGGACTTGCCCCTTCCCCCTGGGCACACACTCATAACACCTGGCATTACTGGCCCACTGCCTGCTCCGGACAGCAAAAGAAAGCGCATGTTGTCTGCAGAGCAGCGACGCCGCACAGCGTACGGGGAAGCGGTCTTGAAATGGTACGGCTCGGCTCGGCTTTGCTTGACTCGACTCAAGTGGGGTGGGGGGGGGGGTTGGGGGGATAAACAAGCACACAAGGTCTTTGTGTCTTGTGGGTTTATGTAGCATTTCCCCAGTGCGATGCTGGATTGAGGCAACTTGTGGCAGTCTGCGACGACTTCGGGGATACATGCAGACATGTAGACATCTGACACTTCTAATGTATATATGTGTGTGTATATGTCTGTTTGCCTCTGTCTTTGTCTATGTGCTCTGGCCGTATACTTGCCTCACCGTCTGCTCCGGATAGCAAAAAGCAAGCGCACGTTCTCGGCATCTAGTTTGCGGAGCAGCGATGGTGCAGAGCGAGTCCGTAGTCAGTAGCCAGTAGCAGCACCAGTAGCAGTAGCTGCAGCAGCAGCAGCAGCAGACGTAGAATAAGAAGTAGAAGTGTGAAGCCACTGGACGTTGTCTCGATTCGGGCATGGACGCTCTGGTGAGTCAGCGCCAAAGTATGCACTGAAAATACTATTAGGGAACTCAAAAACAGTCTTGGTAAGTACTTCGGCCCCTATATTGGACAACAGAGAAGTCGCGAGGCACCTGGCGTTCTCGTGGGGCTCCTCGAGACAAGGGAGCTAAGGGTTCAGGGTTTAGGGCTTGGGGGGCTGAGGAGTATGATTGGCAGGGCTCAAAGTTGAGGAGTTTGAGTTTGGGGGCCTAGGGTTGGGTTGAGGGTTTTAAGTTTAAGGCGTGGGGCTGCGGTTTCGATTTTAAGGGTGCTTGGGCTCAGGGGCGTGTTTGAGGGTTTAAAGACTACAGCCGGAAGCTCTAGCTAAGGAGCTAAACATTACGACCGCGGGTTCAGAATCGTGGTTTAGTCTTGAGTATCGGCTGTCAAGGGCATCCGGTAATGCGGCCTTAGGGTAAGCCCTTGCAGAGCCACCTCGACCCCTCAGCCCTGCACTCCAAGACTCAATAACATGAATCCGCTCGACTGGATGAAACATCGGCAATAATCATCATCATCATCATCATCATAATCATCATCATCATCATCATGACCATCATCATAATCATCATCATCATCATTCGTCATCATCACCGTCATAATGTTGCTGTCGTGTGTCAATTCTTGCGCTGAGCCCTCGTCAGCTTCTTCAGCACAGCGACGTTTGAAATCGCTAACCGGGCCATCATCTTAACGATACTCAGCATGGTACAAGAAGTGCAGGAAGGAGAATGCGATGAACGAGCTAATGTATAAAGTCTTGATCGCAGCACCTCGGGCCGTAAACCCTAAACCCTAAACCGTCCTTCTTTGTCCCAGGCAGCCGCAGTGTTTCTCGCTCGCGTCCATCCGGAAACTTCTCCTGCCCGGAAAGCACACCCTAAACTTTCCCAAACCCTAAACCCTGAGCCCTAAACTTTCCTAAACCCTAAACCCTAAACCCTGAACCCTGAACCATAAACCCTGAACCCCAAACCCTGAACCCCAAACCCTGAACCCCAAACCCTAAACTGGCC